TTTGGGAAGCCTATGTGAAGATGTGTGTCTCTGCTGTGTGTATAGACATTTGCCTGTAGCTCTGCCTCTTATTAGAGTTTGCAGCTTCTTCATGCAGGTGAATCATTCATGAGAGCTGTGAGGTAGAGCGGTAAACCTGCACTGCCTGGTAACGTCTAACTGAGATGGCATAGACACACCAAAGGAGGCAAGGAACAGTGAGAGAACAGTCTGCAGAGCTCTCTTCCATCTCAGTTATTTGAACCCATGTCAAATAGGAAGGGGGGAGCACAGAAGACAGACTGAACCTGGCAGTAAGCTAAATAAGGGTCATGTGCTAAAGGAATTCAGGTGGAATTTTTGTTCTGGAAGAGACAGAAAAAAGGTTCTGAAAGCCAGCCGACTTGAGGACAGCAACAGGAGCTCCTGACATAAATAGCTTTTCCCTCTCGGCTGTCTGTTGGTGGCCTGTGACTTGTAACTGCACTGAGACCCTGCCACTCAACAGGTGTGTCCCGATTACACAAATAAGTGCAGTTGGTCCGTGTGTGAGCCATCCCTGCCACAGGGCCAAGGTTGAAAGTGGGGCTTAGCCACTGTGACCTATTTGTTCCTCTGTATGACCCTTCCAGTCAGGCCTGAGGCAGGCCGGTGACAGCTTTTATGCAGACAGCAGATTTTATCCACAGAAGAGATTTGGTCTCAGCAGATCTCTGCAGACTTGCGTTTCCAGATGAGCTCTTCAGTACTTAAAATGTAGCAAAATGTGAAGGACTTTGGTACATTAGCGTGCTCCATGCAGCTGCGAAAATATACAGTATGACATGTTGGTGTTATCTTCTGTAACATGGTATACATTGTTGCAGACACTATTGTTTTGGCACACGCTGAAATTGTAGGCGGCCAGTAGAAGTCTCACTGGGATGCAGTAAGGCACAGAAGCTCTTGCTATTGCAGAAATACCATTTCTGGTGGCAAAGGACTTTGGGGAGGGTATCATTGAAGGCAAAATACGTTGGAGGTGAAGCTTTAGGAGGACATGTGCTTAGTCTCTGGCTGAGTAATTCTTTCTTTCGTTGCTTTCTTTTGGGGCCCAGGCCAGCAACTGCCATGGTGGCTTAGGTCGCCTGGGTCAGTGTTGCTGTGGGGGGATAGTCCTAGTCTCTCACTTCAGCAGCTGGGAAGCGGGGTCCAGAAGGAATATTCTATTTCTTTTCGTAACTCTGCCAAGAGAGAGAGGAAATCCATAATTTGAGCAAAATACTTTAACTCTTTTTGTAGAGTGGGGTGAGGTAGGAAGAGGGGAAATGAAAAATCCTTTATAGTGGGTAGCTTTTATCCTGGAACTCTCTCAGGCTGTAAGAAATGTTCAGCCTTTCTTAGTATAACAGTAAAGAGAACTTCCATCAGGAGTGCATGCAATTGGAAACATGCGTTAGCTCAGGTTGTGTGTTGCATGGTATGGTTTGGGACCCCGATAGAATGCTTTCTTTGATTAATTAGCTAATAACAAAGGTAGCCTTGTATGTTGTAGATCACGGAACTTTATATGCTGTTGATAATTATGACCCCCTAGCAGAGTTGGTAAAGTGTTGGACTCTGGGCTTTAAGAACATTTTGCTTGAATTGCATTGAGTTTTCACATTCAGTGTTTACTGGTTCCTTCATCCTGTGTTTTCTGTCATCCTTCTAGGATGTTGGGCTGTACTTCAGCTGATTTCTGATGCAGGGCTGCGTAGGTCCTGGTAAAAATAGCAGTCCTTCCTCAGTGAGTCAGCCTTCAGCAGTCCTGAAGTTCATTGTTGGGTGGCTTCTCTGAGAACATGAATGCCAAGATCTTGACTTCACAGAGCACTTAAGCATGTACTGAATTTTAAGCATGTGGCTTAGTATTTTGCTGGATTGCATACTAAGAAAGGTCAAGGTATTCATTGGATGGTGGATAGTGGTCTGTCCACAGTGTTTTGTCTTCATAAGGTGGGTTAGTGTCCTGAATATTTGGATATTCAATTCAGTTGCTGAAGTGGGAGGTACTTGGTTGTCAATCACTCAGGGTAGATGTGTGATGTCTGTTGATGTCTCAGGTGATCATGGAACAATTCTTAAAGATTTGCATGAATAGAAAGTCTATTGATCATGATTGAAGCAAAATGGTCTTTTTAGGGTAAAAAGGGATTTTTTTTTATCAAATTAAGTTTATACAGTTATGTCCTTTTTACCTTTCTAAGATTTGAGAACTGCTCTTGTGCACTGCAGTGATGCTTATCACCTTTTTGACTGTATTCTGGGAGTTACTTTGGGGGTGCTGTTGAGGAACCAAATCAAATTATCAAATTATATTGGCACTTGATTACATCACTGGGCTTGAGTTAATTTCACTTCTGGTGTAGGGGATCAAATGTTTCTGAGCAACACTTGAAAATCATTGCAATTCAGTCTCTGCTGCCTAGTATTGGCAAAGGGGAGGGATGTATCAGTCCAATTTCTATATCCCCTTTCTCATGGCCTCCATATGTTCTGTCTCCTTTCTTGCCTCTATTTTGAATAAATAAAATATCTGGGAAAGAAAAAGTGGATGCTTGTAAGATATTTTAAAAATAGCTGGATCCTGAATTGCTATATGGCGGAGACAGGCTGGATCAACAATGTATCTATTAACAGTAAAACTACAAAAAGACAAAACAAACAAACCCCCCCAAAACCCCACCAGACCTCCCCCGTACAGTCCTCCCCACCCAACCCTTTCCCCTTCCAGACAGGAACTGTTGATTCATTTGAAAGAACAAAGTGTCTGTTACAGGAGTAACTGCAATAGTGAAGTGGTACTGTGGGCCAAGCCAATGTGTGACTCTCTTCTGAAATTCCTCTTTCAGCAGCAGGAAGATAAGGCCTGCCCCCCCCCCCCGCCACCCGACACA